CTCTTCAGGATCTCTGTAGAAGTAGAGATCAGGCATGACCTCCCACGGGTGTTCACGGGAAATGGTGCCACGCATGCGCAGAACTTCCCGAGCCAGCATCCACCACATCAAACCCACTGAGAGAGCTCCCTTGTTGTTGCATGCGATGGCAATGTCCACATAGCGCAGAGGAGAATCTGTGTTACAGAGCAATGGTAGGTAGATTAACATAAGATGCCTCTGTGAGAGGCTGGTGGTCAGCCCTGGGGTCAGTAAACACAAGAAGCCGTGGCTCCTGGAAGGCTGCCTGGATCTGGTTAGTGAAGGTTTCAGGAGTGAAGCGGCCAGCAATTGGAGTGGCTCCAGTGGCAGCAGGGCGCTCTGGCCAGTATTCCTGGAAGATATAACACTGACATCAGCAGGGTTTTCAATGGCAACAATGGCACGAGCCGCCAGCAGAAGCTTCTCCCAGGTCCTCTTCAGATTTATGATGTAGATGCCATCACTTTTCCTTTTACAGATGTACTGTTCCATCTGGAAGTCAAGATTGGTGCCACCTAAGTGGGTTCCTGCTGCAAGGAACTTAAGGACATCCTCCTTCTTCATTTGCAGGACATCAGGGGCTCCGGACATTGTGAAAATTTCCCTTTAAGTTACAATGGGAATCCAGAACAACGCTGTATGGACCCCTCTGTAGGTAGCGCGGAGAGGGAGACATCCTTTTATAATAAAAATTCTCAACAAATTTAGTATAGAAAGAATGTGTTTCAGCACAATAAAAGCTATGTATGGCAAAACCACAGATAACATACTAAATGGAAAAATGCTGACGGTTATTCCTGTAATATCTGAAATAACAGAAGAATGTTCACTTTCACCACTTTTACTCAAATTAGTACTGTAAGTCTTAGGCAGATCAATTAAGAAAGAGAAGTAAATAAAAGGCATCCAAATTGGAAAAAAAGAAAGTCAAATTTGTTCTGTTTACAGAAACATGATGTGTTTTTAAAAAATAAAAACTTCATAGAAACACTGTTAGAATTTTAAAAATGCATTGAAGTTTCAAGATGCAAAATCAACATTAAAATCATAATATTTCTATATTCAAGCAGCAAACTATCTGAAGAACAGCAATCCAATGTACAATAACTAAATAAAATAAAATTAGGAATAAATTTAATCAAAAGGGGGAGATTTATGCAATTAGTGCTATAAAATATTCATGAAATAAATTATAAGGACACAAATAAATGGAAACACATCCTGTGTTCATGGATGTGAATAATTAACATTGCTAAAACATTAATATTACCAAAGTAATCCATAGACTCAATGGAATCTGTCAAAATGCTTATGATATTCTTCACAGAAACAGAAAAAACAAAGTTAAATTTTATATTAAACCATAAAGACCCTGAATTGCCAAAGAAATACTGAACAAAAAAGAGCAAAGCTGGAGACATCACACTACCTTACTTCAAAATATATTGCAAAGCTATTGTAAACAACACAGCATGGTAGTGGCATATAAATATGCATCTTGCCTAATGAAACAAATTAAAGAATAGCGAAATCAATCCATAGACTTAGAGTCAACTGATTTTAAACAAAGGATCCAAGAACACACATTGGTGAAAGGATAGTTTCTTCAATAACTGGTGTTGGGAAAAATGGATATCAACTTGCAGAAAAATGAAACTAGCCTTGTATCTCTCACCATATAAAAAATGATCTAAAAATGGATCAAATGCTTATATGTAAGACCCCATATGATAAAATTACTAGAAGACTACATGGACAAAATAGTTTAGGACATTGGAATAAACACAAGGTTTTTTGGATAAGACTTCAAAAGCACAGAAAACAAAAGCAAAAATAGACAAATAGGATTATATCAAACTAAAATGCTTCTCCACAGCAAAGAAACCAATAATAAAACAATCAACAGGGTAAAGAGACACACTATATAATGGAATAAATATTTGAAAACTGTAATAGTTAATAGCCCATTCTCACACCGCTATAAAGAAATATCTGAGATTTGGTAATTTACAAAGGAAAGAGGTTTAATTGGCTCATGGTTCCACAGGCTATTTAGCAAGCATGAATGGGGAGACCTCAGGAAACTTTCAATCATGGCAGTAGGCAAAGGGGAAGCAAGCATGTCTTACATGGTCCAAGCAGGAGGAAGACAGTGAAACAGGAGATGCTACACACTTTTAAACAACCAGATCTCGTGAGAACTCACTCAGTAGCATGAGAACAGCAAGTTGGAAATCTGATCCCATGATCCAATCACCTTCCACCACGCCCCTCCTTCAATAATGGGGATTACAATTTGATATGAGATTTGGGTGGGGACAAGAATCAAAACAACATCAAAAACTATGCACTTGACATGAAGTTAATTACTACAATATATTAGGAACTCAAGCAAATCAATAGCAAAAATAAAATAATCTGATTTTTAAATGTGCAAAATACCTGACTAGAAATTTCTCAAAAGAAAGCATACAAGTGGCTAAGAGGTATATGAAAAAATGTTCAATATCACTAATTGTCAGAGAAATTGCAATCAAAACAACAATAGAATATCAGCTTACTCCCATTAGAATAGCTATTGAGAAGAAGATAAAACATCAAAAATGCTGGCAAGGATATGAAGGAGAACACATACACTGTTGGTGGGGGTATACATAAGTACAGCCATAATTGGAAACTGTATGGAGGTTCCTCAAAGAATAAAAAATGGAACTAACATATGATCCAGAAATTATACTATTTGATGTATATCAAAAGGAAATAAAATTCATATGTCAAAGAGATATCTGTGCTCTCGTCTTTATTATGGCATTATTTCCAGTAGTCAGGAAATGTAATCAACCGAGATGTTCAATAAAGATAAATGGATACAGAAAATACGGAGAGGCTAAGCAAGATGGCAGAACAGAAGGCTCCAGCAATAATCCCCAACAGAAGGATACCAATTTAACAACTATCTACACAGAAAAAAAGCAAATCATTAGAAGAACCAAAAATTAGGTGAGCCCTCATAGTACCTGGTTTTATTCTCGTATTGCTGACAGAGGTACTGAAGAGAGAAAAAACAATACTGAATTGCCAACAACGCCCCTCCCCCACACCCCAGCTGCGATGACCTGGTGCAGAGAGTGTCTCTGGGCATTGAGGGAGGGAGAATACAGCAGCAGTTAGGCACTGAACTCAGTGCTGTCCTGGTAAAGCAGAAAGAAAAAGAGGACCAAGCTCAGCTGACACCAGCCCACAGAGGTAGCATTTAAACCAGCCCTAGCCAGAGGAGAATCTTCTATCCCAGCAGGCCACACTTGAGTGTCTGCAAACCTCACCACTGAGGACTTCAGTGATCTGTGTCTATAAATGAACTTAAAAGTGAGTGTAGGCCATAAAAACTGTAACACTTAGGTGAGTCCTAGTGCTGAACTAGGCCCAGAAACGGTGAATTGGGTGGAGTTGGGGGGAAACCTACTCAGACACCAGCTGGGACAGCCAACAGAGTGCTTACATCACCTCTTCCGTAACCTACACAACTCCCAGACCCAAAGAAGATCCCTTCCTTCTGCTTGAGGAAAGAAACAAGTGGGGAGGACTTTGTCTTGCATCCAGGATACCAGTTTGGCAACAGCGTGATAGGGCACCAGTTAGAGTTGCGTCTGGCACTTAAACTTTCTCACCTGCTCTCCTGTCACCTTGTGAAAAAGGTGCCTGCTTCTCCTTCTGTCAGGATTGTAAGTTTCCCAGGCCTTGCCAGCCATGCAGAACAGTGAGTCAATTAAACCTCCTTTGTTTATAAATTACCCAGTCTCAGGTAGTATTTTCATAGCAGTGTGAAAACGCACTAATACAAATACTTAACTGAGAATCTAGTTTAGGTCTGTTGGTGTATAGTGAGAAAACATAAAACTACTAAAGGGATAAAATAAAAATTAGATCTTTTTCCTGGATGTATAGCTCTATTTTTTATCATTTGGATTACCCTTTGGCAATCTCACTTTACCTTAGTATGTTAGGCATTCCTAACAAGGGCATTATGTATAGCTGCTTACAAAAGATATAATAACTTAAGCATAGATATGCACGATTTAAATTGTAACTAAATTAATTGTGAAACACATGAGAGAGAATCTAAATATTGCTATTCCTGGATTAAACAGGCAATGCATATCTTTTATAAACTTAACCATGTTATTTGATCTATATCTTAGAAGCTGTAAAATATATTAATACTTCTACCTTCACAATAATGCATTATTTCGCGTAGTCATATAACACTAGATGAGCGTCAACTGTGAACACAATACAAAAAATGACAAAATCTCTCACCTGGCTTTCTAGAAAATTCATAATCACCCTCTATTTTCCTTCTCGAGCTTTCCACCAGGTTCTTTTTGTTGCTCCAGTAAAGCTGAAAGTTTTATAGAATTTGAGTTTTCAGTACCCAGATCCTTTACCTTCTTAGTGGAATTTACACCTAAGTACTTAATTCTTTTGTTGCTACTATAAATCATATTGTTTGCTTAATTTTCTTTTCAGATTATTTGTTACTAATACATAGAAGTGCCACTAATTTTTAATGCTGATTTTGTATCCTGCACCTATACTCAATTTATTTATCATTTCTAACAGTTTTTTGGTAGAGTCTTTAGGAGTGTTGACTGCTTCTCCGATGCCCCATTCCTTTGACCTCCAGCTCACCCAACACAGCTTACAAAAACATTATAAGAGGGAGCAGCATAGTCCATTGCAGTTGATGGCATGCACTTTGGAACCACTGTCTAGTTTTGTGATTTGGGGCAAGTCATATAGCCCCCAATGTGCTTCACTTTCCCCACCTCGTTGAGTTATCAGGATAATTAAATCAAATTAATAACTCATTTGTAAAGCACTTAGAACAACTTCAAGCACATAACAGGTATTATGCAGAAAGTTTTAAAATCAACAAATAAGTCTTTCCAGGCTCAGCATAGACATGACCACCTCTAAGACTCTTTGCATAATCTTGCTCTCACAAAACCAGGTTACATGCTCCTCCCCTTTAAATTCCTCCTCCGTGTGCTCTGGCTTCTCATTGTATTCATCACACGATAATATAGTTGTCAATTGTTCTTAGGCTTTTGTTCTTGAGCTGATAAATGCAAGTTTCCTTATGGCAGGAATTTTATCTTTTTTCCATCTCTCAGATCCCCAGTGCCTAAAATAGTACCAAGTGCAGACACATGTAACTAAAAACAATTGTTGAATGAATTCTCTAAATTATTCATCTGCTAAGATTCTGACTCCTTTTATATGCCCATCTGTTATAGTACTTCACATTATAAATACTCAGTAATAATAACATTCATAGTAATTAGAATAATCAATATATACCTGTCATGAACTATCTTAGTCTGTTTTGTGCTGATACAATACCTGAGACTGGGTAATTTATAAATAAAAACATATTTTTCTTACAGTTTTGGAGGCTAGGAATTTCAAAATCAAGTCATCAGCATCCGATGAAGGCCTTCTTGCTGTATCCTCACATGGTGGAAGTGAAAATTTCTCCATTTGTTGATGACATAATCTTACTTAAGAAAACCCTAGGCTGGGAGCGGTGGCTCACACCTGTAATCCCAGCACTTTGGGAGGCCGAGGCAGGCAGATCACGAGGTCAGGAGATCGAGACCATC